ACCATGGGATGAACTCGATCGGCCAAATGTTACATAATTCTTGCAGTATGTGCCCTGACACAGTTATATGGGATAGCAAGAACCACGATATGGCTTCCCAACCATAACAGAACCCCCCGCCATGTTTTCTTGGCAACAAGCAGTCTGTTTATAGGCTGAATGGCGTTCTCCAGAGTAAACTCGCCAAAGTGGAAACAATGTGAAAGATACTCGTCAAGACAATATTACTCGCTTCCACTGCTCTATAGTCAACTTTATGACTTAAACACCACCTTTCTGTTAGGGCATAGATGACTGTTGGTGGCTTCTCAATTGCAGCACGGCAGCATTCCCTGTTTATGAAGCTCTTTTAATGTTTTGGTACTCACGGGTCGGTAACACACATCATTCATCAGTAACTTGCAAGCTGGGTCATCTATTTTTCGTCACATTGCCCTTATTATCGTCTGTAACGTCACTCGCACACAACTTTCTCCGCGCTGTGATTTAGCAGATGATGTTTTTCCGCTTTTCAATATGCGAATAAAGCTTCGATACAGTACTCTGAAACACTAAACCCTCGCTCCCTTGCTTACGGACACCTACCATACGGCTCCACAGTTGCCCCACGTTCGAAGTCTGTAACTCTGACATAATGCAAGGACAACCACATACAGTACTCCAACAACTGAACTGTTAGCAATTTACGAGTTGTATAGGGACGTCAGTATCAAAACGCCAGCGCCATACATATTTCATTAAAATAATCTTGTTTCAAACATGCATTTCACAAGTGTTTCCGATTTTTGTCCATCCACTATTTATTAATAAATTTTTCCCATAATGATTTCATTTATTGAATTGCGTTTCTTTCGGAAGAATAGTTGCGACCCAGACTACGATACGTTTGAAAACGCATTTTAAGAGAAAATAAGTAAAGCAAGAATAACTTTGCTTTCAATATCCATTCAGAAAAGATACATAAATAAGAGAGAGTATAATCGATATTTTAACTTGAGATGACTTGCATACATTCTTACAGCTTATCATTGTGCTATCGCTTTACAGAATTTATCATCCTACATTTAGTTCTTAAAATGTTATTAATTAGTCAAATATTTTATTTTGGAAGCGCAAGAATTAAATATATAAGATTAAAGTTTAAATTAAAAAAAAAAAAAAAAAAACCACTAATTTTTATGCAAAATTTTACTTTTCTTTTAATGATATTTTTTCTTCAGCATTCGCAAGTATATTGAAAATTATCCAACTTTTCGAACTCTGGTATTTGACATTCATTTTAAACCACAATAGAATAATGCATTCTTTAAAATTCACTTTGTTTACCATAGCGACACTCTGGCGCTAGTTTACTAGCATTATATTTTTTAAATTATAACTCAGAATGCACAAAAATTTATATCATTTAAAGAATTATAATCGTTGCCACATGTTTTATTCAAATACTATAACAAAGCTAGAACGAAATAGAAGAAATTAAGCAAACAAAACAAAAAGAAACAGTTCACACAATTGAGTATTTCTCATTCAATTAATTCAGTTTTCACTTCGCGACAAGCCAAAATTACATAAAAACTCAAAATATCTGTATTAAAAATTACGAAGTAAGTCTTAAACGCTTATTTCCTCGAAAAAATTCCAGAAAGGATTAAGCTGATTTAATTCTCAATAATAAAAGAAGCCGTTATTTTTGTTGTTGCGAAGCTTAAGTTTCTCTTCTTAGTTTCTAGTCTGACAAAAAATCCTCTATTTTGCCAAGTTTGAAATGTAAACGAACATGTCTGCCATCGCAAAATTCATTAGGCTTAGCTGCATTAAAACAACTTTTAAATTGTTGATAACTCCTCCAATATTGCGTGCAGATGTTCTAAAGGCATAAAAACCTTAACGGAAGGTAAGAACAACATAATTCAATCATTTTTAAAAGCACAAAATGGACAATTTACAAACATATAAGAGTAAAGAAACTGAGAACACTGAGCCGGGGGTAACAGAGTGGATATATATATAAATATTATTTATTACGTTTGGTGCGGCCGATTGCAACCAAAATACGAGGTGCACATCTACATGTTATAGCAGTCCTATATACAAAATTTCAACGTTCTGAGGCTACTCGTTTTTGAGTTATGCGAAATACGTACGTACATACGTTCGTACAGACGCCACGAAAAATTCTCTTCAGAATTCATTTTAAAGCAGTTTTATAATTTTTTGGGGAGGAAAAGAGTGTTTTTTTCTGTCCTTACATACAGATATCATGGAAATACATCGTTAAATTGCATTTGAAAGAGGTCAAAATGGGATATTTTCGTTGAAATATGCTGCCTGAAACTTTTCGCGATTACTATACTTCCTTTTTACTTCGTACAAGAAAGTAAAAAGAAAAAAAGAAAGAAAATAAAAAAAAAAAAGTTAAAAATTTAAATCTTCGGACAGAATTGCGTTCTTTCGGACAGAATCTATACCTTTTTTTAAAAAAAGCTTTTCATATAATATTAATATATATTTATTACGCATCATTGGGGAAAAACATTTATGTAATTAATTCTCCGTAAAACTTTATATAAAATTTAAGGTTTAGAACTAGCTGTGGCAATTCACTGTAACAAAAATCTATAAACCACATTATTATCGCTCAAAAAAAAAAAAAAAAAAAAAAAAAAGATGCCAAACTTCAAAACGCGAAAATATGTAAATTCGTGCATTTCTTAGAAAAGTTTGAACAAAAAGCTCTAATTTTTTGCAAGTGTGCTTAGAAATACACCTGTTTTAAGATGATGGTAAAACTTTTATAGGTTATAATTCAAAACATTTTTCGAAAAATTTATAAAAATTATTTAATAATACAAATTTTATAAATAAATCATAAAAACTGAGTGAATTTTATTTGGAATGAATCTAAATTTCGAAATGTGAAAGGAAGAATGAAAAAAGTTTAATAAAAAAGAGATATTAATAATTATATATCAAATTCAATTAACATTGAGGAGCTAACATTTTGAGAGCTAATTTTTTAAAAGCTATCCATGGGTTTATTACAAAACTTGGCAGTCTGGCATAATTTGAGTCATAGAATCGAAATATGGAAAAAAAATTGGTATGTCACTTCAGAAAAGTCCGATTTTGTGTCAAAACACCAATGTTAGAATAATGCTATATATGAATCTAATATATATCCTAAGACGCGCGTTCGAGACGTTAGAAATGCAATTTCAATTTCGTCAATCGGCTCAGTAGAAAAGGAGAGATAGAACTGTCTTATTTTTTCTCGCAGTGTACAATTTTACTTATCAGTGAAATAAAAGTGACTGAGGATTAAATTAGTATGTAAGTAAAATAGGAAATCGAATTGTTAGAAACAAATATATTTACAAATTTTCAAATCTCATAGCACCAATTTTTTTATTAGTTTACATTAATGTACGAAACTACCATCCAATCGTTTAATCAATAGCCAGTGACTTTACAGATTGTATTTTATTACCTCCTATGACTAAAGGTTTGTAATTAATTAATAAAATTAAAATAACATATTAATTATTATAAACGAAGGAGTACTGCAACGCAAATTGTAACAGTTGTGATGATGTTTAGTTAAATATTTTAAACATTTTATACAGAAAAATCAGATAATGCTTTATAAGTAAAATATAAAGAATTTCAGAAATATAAGATTCCAGCTAAAAATACCAAAGATCTTTCACAAACAGAATAAAAAGTAATTGGAAATTTAAAATCAAAATTAAAATCTGTAGCATCATACCATTAGGGATGATGTAAATTTTAATACGTTGCGTATTTCTGAAACTTTTGTAACTTTAATAGATATAATTTATATTTAATAGAGGAATATTTTTATCATGATATTTTCAGATTATAATTTAAGGATAGAAATTAATATATTATCAGTGTGACATATGAGACCCAAACCTGAAATTCATTTTTACACACATATTTTCAGAGCCAAAGAAAAAAAAAGAAACCGCAATTTTTTTTAATGTTTTTATCCTTTTATGCATTAAAATGTTTTAATGTTTCTATCCATGTTTTGTGTTATGATTAAAGAGACAGATGCATATTTCCGGAAATACATGTAAAATGATCATTAATTTAAAACATAAGGCTGCTTTTATGTCAATGATATATTTGTTAACATATGGTATAAATGTGATTTGTATGCAATAATATTATCTAAAAATCACTTATAAGGCTTTTAATGCGATCATGGTTTAAACCAAAAATTGTTTGATTTTTCTTTGAACTATAGAAAGAAATATAATAAGAACTCTACAATCCACTTAAATAAAGATTTTGATTTTGAAACTAAGACTGCAGTTTATATGTTATACATTACTTGTACTTCAAGTAATTATATTTCAAAAACATTTATTATGATTTATAAAACCGAATTTAATGATTTAATTTAAAGAAAAAAATTAAATCGAGGCTATGGCATATAAACAGAAAGAATATAATAATATGAATAAAGAACTTCGCAATTCATCATAAAATATGTTTAGTAATTTTTCTTATACTTAATCAATATTAACGGATTTAATGAAAGCAGATGGAAAGAAACTGAGATATAAATCTGTAGAGAGACATGAAGACATTTAACCTGAAAATGTGATTTGAAAAAGACATTTTAGATTAATGTAAAGTCTATAGTTAAGTAGCATAACTTAGAATGGTTGATAAGCTGATTAATTATAGCAAAATACGAAAGAAATTTTAACGTAAAAAGACGATCCCTTTGTTTGAAACATTTTGATAGAAGCTTGTTAGCATCTTCAGAAGTTATGTGGCCAGGTCTTTAACATACTAGGAACTATCTGGAACTACTGTAAAATCTGTAACTAGTGATCGTAGACTTTAGCCACTCTATCACTGGTAGACCAGAACAGACTTTAGGCTTTTTAAGTTCGTTGTTTGGATATTTAATAAATTTAATAATGAGTTGTTGTTACACTTCTCAGGTGAATCAATTATCTTTTCAGATTGGCTGCTGATGGTGAATGGTGGAATTCTCCCCGCTTTCCACTTCAAACTCTGTGCCAGGTTAGAGCTGCCATACAAGGAGGTCTACGCACCTACATTTGCCGCTGTGTGCTGCCCATAAATGTCTTTAATGAGAAGATCTTTTCAGTCGTCTGGTTCTTTCTCGCTCTCATCCTTCCCCTCAACACTATCAGCTTGGGCATCTGGATCTGGCGCATCTTCCCTTGCAACCGCCTAGCCTTCGTCCGGCTCACTTTGTGGAGGACGCGTCTCTTCAACCTCTCCGAGATATCCCGAGCTTCCAAGAAGGTAGAGACAAGTTATCTCGGGTGGGATGGGGTCTTCGTGCTGAGGCTCATCGAGCACAACCATGGGAGCAATCTAGCCACCGTCATCCTGGGCAAACTCTGGGAGTTCTATGCCAACCAAATGAAGGCCCAGGAAGAAGGCGCGGTCGACCTCGAAATGGGACGTCCGGGGGAGATGGGAAGCGTGACCTCGGTGGCACCGTCCACCTCATGGCACTCATGTCATGCAGGCGCGTGTCACATTGGACACTTCACCAATCAACAGAAGCAGAGGTCTGCCGCACCCCCGCACAACGGTTATTGGAGCAAGTGCTCATGATCCCAGCAGGAAGACTCTAGAACTCTAGGTGCTTCAATTTTTCCAATTGCTATTTCTCTAAACAAAACAAAATGAATCTGGATATTGGATGGGAACATTTTTCTTTGATATTCAGTTCTTAAGATCAGTGTGTTGTCTGACCATCGTTTTGAAAACTATTGATTACTTTTCTCGACAAGCCCAAGTTGTTTGTCTTCCAGTGTGTACCCCAAAAGTTGCCTACGAACAACATCAGGAAACTCTGGAATGAATTATTTTAATATTTGTATTCCAGTACATCCTAGTGCACCACGCATCCGGCATGGAGGTAAGATTTTGTTGTATTCTTTAATACATTAAATAATATTCATTAAAACTACTGTGGCGTTTTAGATAAAATCCAAAGTGAAATTTTACATTTCAGTTAATTAATAAAATATATATAAATCTAACAAATGTACAGAAATAACTTTTATAATCTCAGTCATAAAATCGCATGAACTTTCCTGAATTTGCCCGAAATAATTATTTCTGGAAGATGTTGTAGTAACATAGATTTGCTTTCCAAATTTAAAAATTATGATTTCCTTCATCTGCACTAAGACTAAAATGTTCAGATGCATTTTATGTTCTATATTTCCTCACACAATACATATATAATACGTATATTACAAAAATAGAATTTTTGGCATTATGGAAGTTATTTTCTCTCTCAAATAATTCCGAAGCTCTAATGATAGTAGTATTATTATACTTTCATTAAATAAAATGCGTTAACGTTTGAAAGTTATTTAATGTTAGGAATCGCATAATGAATGTAATATATGAAATATGTTATTATTCTTACATTTGAAAACATCGAACGATGAAACTGGTCAGGTAAAATATTCAGAAATAGTATTATGAATATCTATGCATTATTAACAAGAATTATAGTCATTTCAAATTTATTTTCTACTTTTATAAATGGCACATTTTGTAAATTTAATACAGGAAAATAATTTTCAATTCTTTGGGAAAAAAATGGTCTTCGAGAATTCTACATAAATTTATTTCAGAAAGTATCTTATTTGATGGGAAGCTGAAAATCTCTACTACGCATCTGATAAATTTCCCTTCATTATATACAAAGTTGACTTAAAGCCCGAAACAAGGAAACGTAAACCATATAGATAGTTTGTTAATGAAACACAGTTCTTTCATTGCATAGAAGGAACATATCTCAGTGTAAATACAATATAAAATTAGGCAAAAACATGATTTTACATTAATGCAGACTTTATATGGAACTTTATCGAGTTCGATGGCGGACAGCTTAAAATCTGTTTTCTCTAAAGATAAGCAAATTCTGGGTAATGGAATTGATATGTTAGATAATACGTTTTGGTAGATAGAGCCTGAATTTTATAAAGATGTTCGAAATACAAGCTTTGGGGGAACATAATTTTGAAATCTCTGTTAGAAGAGATACCCAGTTGTGGGGAAAATGAAAAGGGAAGGTAAAAGAGGTATGTGAAATAGCTACATCTAAACTTCATTTTATAAGTGCGTCTTTGGAACTAATCAGATGACTGGAGTACAAGAACCTTCGGCATCCGTGAATTAATAGGATTTGATTTTACGTCAAGTCACCTAGTATTTCAGAATGTATCTGGAGGGGACAGAATTTCCTTGGAAATTTCAGATGATGTATGAACGGTATGAACTGGTATGAACACCACGGAGCATCAAAAGTCTGAAGAGCAAAAGGGTTATTTTTTTTCTGTATCTCTCAGTGTATTTTGACATTTGGAATCCAGTTCTAAATGTGCGGGGTACATTCCATATTCTTGCTTTACTCTGTAAAAAGAGTTTCGAAGAGTAGCTTACGCCAGTTTTGTGAACAGCATCAGGTGTTGAGTGTTATCTAAGGGACAATCAGTTTCTGCAGTTGATTTACGATTAGCGAAAATTCCTATAATCCATTAGATTGAAAATTAGGCCCACCAGCGGCCGAGCGGTAAAAACGATGAACACTGGTAGTTCGGCCCGAGGTTAGAATTTCGCGAATGAGCTGGCTGCATGGGCATTTTCGTGGTTTTCCCCATGTGTAACGAGCCAGTTTCCCTTAGAAAGTCCTCCACGAAGGCATCCCTCCCCTTAGGAAGATAGGTGTGCTTTGCCATAATTAAATAATCCAATCCAAGTAGATTGAAATTAATAATTATTTACGTGTTTGATTCTTCAGTTATTTTTTATTGATTTTAAATAATTTTACAAAAACATTTTCATATTTTTAATCAGAAATTCGGGGATCAAGTTTGTCAAGAAATTTTCTTTTCTTCAGTCACCTCGAGTATTTTTCAAAAAGTGCTTTAACTGAAGAATCCTTCAAGTTAGAAAGTATTAAATTTAAATTATTCCTTCGGTAGAGATATTATAGCTTAGCTGCCTCCAATGAAACGATTAATTTAATGGAATCTGGTTAGTTGGAAAAGCTTTATCAATTTTTTCCATCCAAATTACGTCTAATAGATAAAATAGAAAATAGACGGGATAAAAGGAAAATTTTTCTGTGGCACTGATGCACAAATGAAGAAATTCAACGCAACGCTAAAACTAGCACAAATAAGCAGGAAGCTGTAGTTGGAACAATGTTATTGGAACTCCGTCCACACAAAAGCTGTCAAACATCTTATGAGAGTTAAAAATGCTTGGTTGAAAGACAAAAAAACGCTGAAAGAGGTTTTTCACACTTTTATCAGAAATAGAGTAGACGCATATGTGAGATTGCTATACATTTTAAGAAAATCGAAACTAAGAGGCCGTCAGAGGCTGGCTGTGAATAACTATTGAAGCAGTAGACCTTCAACAGTTATTCATTCTTGGTTCGATAAACGCAAGTTTAAATTTAGTTATGTTGGAAACCCTTCCATTTGTTTTTGATCGGTAGATATTGGGATGTCCATTTGGTTTTCAATTCCATTTAATCTTTTCACTTGCTTCATTTATTTATTTGTTTTTTGTTCGGCCCCCATGCCGAAATATTTACTTTTTGGTGAGGGATCTATATCTATTGCCGTTCGAAATCGAATTTTAGATCTAATTTGCTTATTGATCAAATTTTATAATCCTTTAATAATTTATTTAAGGTTTGAGTTATATATTTATAACGTGTGCGTAATTATTACAAAAATATAATTAGCACTTAATTTATAATTTTGGTAACAGATGATTTTATGTAGTATTTTGAAAATTGTAAAATAAATAAAGTGTCATTATTGTCTTTATTTGTTATCAAATTTTCATGGTTTATCACTTACAAGACTACAATGTTCAAAATGAGTTTCATTACGATGAGGAATTAGAGATCTTTACAAAAATTACAAACACAAGTAGAGTTTTGATCACGATATTTGATAATTTTTTTCCAATGGCGGACACGTGCCTATAACGGCATTGGGCGCTCTTAAGGCCAGAAGTGGTGGCCATTTTATTGTGAAGGCACCTAATTCGCATTGGGATTCGAACCCGGTCCTTAGCATAACGCTTTATGATAACTTACCTCTTTTAAACAGCTTGGTTTATTGGTTGCATAAAAGCTTCAAAAATGAATAATAAATGTAAACAAATTTTTAATGAAAAATTGCATTAGTCTTAAAATCAATATCCAAAAATAACGAAAGTTCGTTATACAAAATCGAGATTTCATAATGCTAAAATTTGTTCTAAAATTTGTATTTTGTTAATGAATAATTTTAAATGAAAATAAATAAAAACATTCGTCTTAAATAAAGAGTTCAATAACCTAGTTAAACTAGTTAAATGTAAACTATGTGTTGAATCTTGAATTGCTTGTGCACTCAATTTATATGTTTTTAAAGATAATTTTTCTGATGTAATTTGAACTTGATTTCTTTATGTATCAGAGCATTCTTTGTTGAGCAGAGAGGTTGTCAAAATGCACGCAAACGTAAGAGATCTGCATTAAACATAAAGGAATGTACTTTATCGACGGTGGAAAAATTTTGTTATTCTGATATCGCTTAACATTTTATCAAGCATTAAATTCAAATCAAAATTTAAAATCTATTTCGAAGAATAAACTATGACATTTTTTCAGAAATTAGTTTTATACTTCGAATAAAAAACTTAACTTTATTGAATGCAACTATGATTAACATCTCAAAAATATTTTATTTAGAATTAAAACCGAAGTTAGCACTTTTGCCAATTATATTAACAATAAAGTTCTGCATATCGATTAGTGTTCCATTCTATGCATTGCATCCTTTCAATGTATTATCTATTATATATGAATAATTCGTAAAATCTAGGTTATAAATACAATAATTTTTCAGATTTTTACAAAGATGCGAATGTATCTGCAAGAATATTGAATAAAATTAAATGAAAACATTATCGCCAGTTTTACGTGAAAAATTGCGAATATAGTAACTTGAAGAGAAGTCGTTGAGTAATAAAAGTTCCATGGATACAATATTACACTTTTACATCAAATATCTACCAATCAGTTCATTGATTAATTTGAGTACGTTTTCTCACAGAACTGGTTTCGTTTGAAAATGAAAATAATTTATTATTTCATAATACCTACTACTAGCATATCCGAATATTTTGCTTTGTTTCTAACAGAATAATATAAGCATTGCTTATTTTCATGCAATATTTAACGATGTACAATGAAGTACGTACAGTGAAGTATTAGTAAGAATGAGAATTCTTACTATTTATGACAATGACAACCATGTTAAAATAGCATACAGCAACCGTTTAAAATTAAATTCAATATATGTAAATTTCACCCTCTTTTATGTAATACAGCACCCTTTTCAAGTCTTTTTTTTTTTCAATCTTAGTTAACTTTGTGGTGCATATAAAAAGTAAAACATCACACATGTATATACTCTTATTTTACTGTTAAGAACATGTCAAAAGCTTTACAAAAGCAAATATTTGTATAATACATTTTGAAGTTGTGAGCTTTCTTTTAAAATGAGTTTAAGACTTTAAAAGACAAAGTCCTCAATCAACTCAAATTTAGAATTAATCTAAAATCAAGTAAGGAATATCGGACACAGGAATAACTCAAAATATGATTAACAATACTCTTAATATGTTATCTGTATTTCCAAGAAATTTAATACGAAAAAGGTATACATTTGGTCATGAAAATAAATTATTATGGAAAGTAAAGCACTGTAAGTAATAGAAAAATAGACATTATTAGAAATGGAGAAACTTAGGTACAAACATCAAGGAACAATAATATTTACTAGAGGATTTGAACACTGTCATTGCGTTCCAGGTCG